CACTCGCATGACCCAACCAGGGCCGGGGACAAACTGCAACCAAGGTACGTGCCCTTAGTGGGAACCGAACCGAACCCGGGTCTCTCTGGACCGCAGACCGACGCTCTAACCGCTGAGCCAAACCTGCCAGGGCCCCTCGAACACTCTTCAAACTGGTTGGGGGCCTGATGAGCTTCCATTTACCATGGTAGAAACAAAAGCAATAACTTTAAAACTGTTTTAATTCACTTAAAAGAAATAAATCCATTACATATTCACGTTTTATGAAATTAAAAATAACCATGTTTGCAAAAGCAGAGTCGGCGGCGAGAGGCGGCAGGGCTTCCGCGCGGCGGTCCGGTGGGGTCGACAGGGCCGCTGCGCCCGCCCGCCCGGCGGCCTCGGCCTCATTCTGCCGCCCCCTGGCCTGGGCCCGGCGGCCTCGCTCTGCCCGCCCCTGGCCTGGGCCCGGCGGCCCCGCTCTGCCCGCCCCTGGCCTGGGCCCGGCGGCCCCGCTCTGCCCGCCCCTGGCCTGGGCCCGGCGGCCCCGCTCTGCCCGCCCCTGGCCTGGGCCCCGCGGCCCCGCTCTGCCCGCCCCTGGCCTGGGCCCCGCGGCCCCGCTCTGCCCGCCCCTGGCCTGGGCGCCCGCGGCCCCGCTCTGCCCGCCCCTGGCCTGGGCCCGGCGGCCCCGCTCTGCCCGCCCCTGGCCTGGGCCCGCGGCCCCGCTCTGCCCGCCCCGGCCTGGGCCCCGCGGCCCCGCTCTGCCCGCCCTGGCCTGGGCCCGGCGGCCCCGCTCTGCCGCCCCTGGCCTGGGCCCCGCGGCCCCGCTCTGCCCGCCCCTGGCCTGGGCCCCGCGGCCCCGCCTCCCGCCCCTGGCCTGGGCCCCGCGGCCCCGCTCTGCCCGCCCCTGGCCTGGGCCCCGCGGCCCCGCTCTGCCCGCCCTGGCCTGGGCCCGGCGGCCCGCTTGCACGCCCTGGCCTGGGCCCGGCGGCCTCGCTCTGCCCGCCCCTGGCCTGGGCCCCGCGGCCTCGCTCTGCCCGCCCCTGGCCTGGGCCCCGCGGCCTCGCTCTGCCCGCCCCTGGCCTGGGCCCCGCGGCCTCGCTCTGCCCGCCCCTGGCCTGGGCCCCGCGGTCGGCCTCGCTCTGCCCGCCCCTGGCCTGGGCCCGCGGCCACGCTCTGCCCGCCCTGGCCTGGGCCCCGCGGCCCTCGCTCTGCCCTCCCCTGGCCTGGGCCGGCGTCGGCCCGCTCTGCCCGCCCCTGGCCTGGGCCCGGCGGCCTCGCTCTGCCCGCCCCTGGCCTAGGCCCGCCGGCCTCGCTCTGCCCGCCCCTGGCCTGGGCCGGCGGTCGGCCTCGCTTGCCCGCCCCTGGCCTGGGCCCGGCGGCCCGCTCGCCCGCCCCTGGCCTGGCCCGGCGGCCTCGCCTCTGCCCGCCCCTGGCCTGGGCCCCGCGGCCTCGCTCTGCCCGCCCCTGGCCTGGGCCCCGCGGCCCGCTCTGCCCGCCCCTGGCCTGGGCCCGCGGCCCGCTCTGCCGCCCCTGGCCTGGGCCCCGCGGCCTCGCTCTGCCCGCCCCTGGCCTGGGCCCGGCGGCCTCGCTCTGCCCGCCCCTGGCCTGGGCCCGGCGGCCTCGCTCTGCCCGCCCCTGGCCTGGGCCCGGCGGCCTCGCTCTGCCCGCCCCTGGCCTGGGCCCGGCGGCCTCGCTCTGCCCGCCCCTGGCCTGGGCCCGGCGGCCTCGTTCTGCCCGCCCCTGGCCTGGGCTCGGGAGGCCCAGCGGCTTCGCCCGTGGGCGGGGCGAGCTCGCGGTCCCGGGTCCCTGGATGCACCGGAGGCCCGCCGCAGAGTTAGCGGCAGCCCACACGTCCTAGAACGAATGGAGGGAACCTGACCATGAGAGGGAGACATCTCCAAATACGAGGCTGAGGGCTGGATGAGTAGTTGATGAGCAGCTCGGATCGTCTCCGTCCCTTCAGGGACGAGCCGCTGTCGCAGGCCCGATGGGAGAGAATTTCTTACAGTGACCAGCCGGGGACTTGGTGTGGCGCACGGCCGTCATGGTCTTTGGGTTCCCAGCACCTGGACGCCCGTTCTCTTCGGCACATCCTCTGCTGAGCGGGCTCTGCCCGTCCGGCTCCTCCCGGACTAACCAAGCCCGATCGTCTCTCCTGTGTCGGGAAGCCGCAGAATGAACTCATTCCTGAGGTGTCCCAACCAGATCCTCCTTCCCAGAACTCCAATCGTGGCCCCATGGGAAGGCACCTGAGGAATAACTGGCAGTGGGGGTGACCCTGGTGGCACTTACTACATAGGAGGCTGTGCCATGCGGCCAATGGTGGGACACCAGCTGCAGCATCCTCACCCATGGTCCCTGAGGTCCAGCCTTGCCTGGGTTTCAGGCTGCATTCTCTCCATCCCTGTGTGGCAAGATCCGACTCCTGTCAGGCTGTGACCCCGTATCTTCCTGACACTTTGCTAAATCGGCATGTCATGTGCCATCCAGACCCCTGGGGAGGGTGGGCTGGGAAGGCTGCCCCTCCCTCATTCAGTGTGCTGCTCCGGCCTGTCTACACTGCTTCTTCCTCGTTTCCCAGGGCCTCCTGCTCCGCTGCTCTCCCTGCTGGCCTTGGCCTTTCCAAGGTGTCCTGCAACCCCCCAGCACAGCCCTGAGCACAGCCCTGTCTTGAAACTCTCCTGTGTGGCATCTCCTGTGCCCTTCCAGTCTACAGAGGGGTCTGAGAGCAGGGTCTTCCTCATTTTGCCTCAAATCTCCTATCCCCGGCCCCCTCTGATATTCTCCTAATGATTATTACAATATTAAACAATTAACTTCCAAAAACTACAGAATGTTTATAAAACAGAGGGGAAACACCACTCATGACTAACCACAAGTTTTGATTCCTTTCCCGTCTTTAAAACGATCTTGCAACATCTGTGCGGAATGTTACTGTTCCTTAGGTGTCTAGTGCCCCCCCCCTAAGGTTGGCCTGGCCTTGTGCACTGGCCCCCAGAGCAAGTACACACGTCACACGTGAGCTGGGCTGTATTTTTGCTTGCAGGGTTTGACTTGGCCTCTTGTGCTTCTGCTAAGAGAAATAACATGTCCTAGGGAAATGCTACTCCTTGCTACTCCTTCACCTGGGGCCCCGAGCGGAACAGAGATGCCTTGTGGAGACCTAGATCAAACCCACAGCCTGCAGTGTAACCACTGCCACCAACCTGTAGACCTGAGAGCGAGAGTTTGTAACTGTGGGCCACTGAGATGTTTGAGGTTACTTTTCAGCAGAGTCTGACTAATACATCATCATACAGGAGAAACTAGTTAAAGAATTTGACACATGCTAAATACTATGACCAGTCAGAGGTCCGTGGCAATTAGGTAAATCCCAGACACAGCTGAAACTGTGTTAATTTGCAGACTAAACAACTGTCTGCAACCTGTCACTCCCAGTGGTTTTACTTAATGATCTCAAGGCAGGAAAGAGGCCTGACAGGGGATGACCTGCCCGGTGAGGAAGCCTGTAATTACATTCAGGCACCGGCTCTCCAGCACTAGGCCACCTTGGGGTAGAGGAGGTAAGGCAGGTGAGGTGAAGAAAGATTGTTCAGGTCCTAACAAGCCCTAGCCTGACACTGTGGCCAGGAGGGACTGGTAATCCCACTGCTGCCCCCAAGCCTGTCCTTCAATTCCTCCAGCAATCTGCTCCCCGCCTTGTCAACCTTCCTGAAGAGTAAGTCCAGAGATTATTTGGGGATGGAGAGGCGATCAGGGGACACTGGGTTCCTGAAAACACAGATGGGCCTGAAGTTCCAGGTGAAGGTCACCTCAAGGCCAGTAGCATCCTTCCATTCATTCTGCATGCCCTACTCTTGGCTTGTTACCTCCCACAGCTAGGCTGTTGTGATGAGCCCTGTCTGCGTGTCACCTTTAGTTGTATAATTTGTGCATGTGAGCCGCCATATTTAAATGCTCTCCAATGTATCTGCACTTCCTAACACCATGTCTGGCTCACAGTAGGTAGGTAGGTAGGTAGGTAGGTGCTCAAAAATATTTGAGAAAATAAGCGAATGAATCTTTGCTTAAGACATGTTATATCCAGTGCTGTCCAGGCCTGCTTCCCACGTCCTGACAGCTGGTGTACACGGACAGTGTATGTGCACATGAGACCTCGGCTCAGCCCAGCGGCGACACTGAGCTGCAGCACCCTCAGACTTTCAGGCAGCCAGGTCCCAGGGCTGGCTTATGTTGCCAGCATGCCATGCCCCTCCCCATGTAACTTATTTACATAATTCATATGGAGCCCAATTTAGATGACTTTTTACTAAGTCGCTAATAAAAATGAATTCCCTCCAGTCTTCTCCCGAGTAATAATATCAGAACTCCTTTTTGTTTTAACCTTCTTCTTAAAGTATTTATTTGTTCTGTCAGAACATAACTCTCCCAGGATCTGACTTTTGCCTTCTGATTCCCTGGTGTATCACCAGTACCTACAGAAACATTATACTTATTTAAAAAACAAAAAACCCAACAACAACAAAATTGAACTATTATTTTCCTGTTGCCGACATAAAAAATTTGGAACTTAAAATAATACTTGACCCTGTTGGACATTTCTGGTTCAGGCCACTGTCTCGCGCTTTCCAATGACAAACAATACTTTATATTATGGCTAACTAATACTGTAATATTCTTAGAAATGGTCAAACCACTTGGCGCTTACTTGTTTCTGAACAGACGTTACTACCTGTGTGGGAGAATTCAAAGTGCTAATTAAGGGTCACTTTATGGTATGGTATCACACGGGAGGATGTCACCTGTTCCCAAAGGATGGTGGCTCCTCCTTGTTCTAAGAGAGAACCTAAAACTGTGCAGACTGAGTCATCTAACACCTGAGTATTAAGACCCTTGGGGTTTTTTAACCCCTATATTCAGGCCTAGTCCTTTGACAGATCCTACACTGGGCACATATTAATGGTTGAAGCAATCTTTAGGAACATCTGCAATAGACATGTATCTTCACATATAAACTTAAAAATACCTTAACATAACACACTGTACTGCTTAGAATTAGAATTCAACATATTACATTGCTAAAATATTCATATAAATACCATATACGCATGGATTCACCGCATTACAAAAATTCACTTATTAGGCAATCAAAGACTAGTATCAGTAAAGCCCAAAGAAAAACTATTTTAACAGTAGGAACACTAAAAATAACAACTAGGAGGCTTACAAACTAGTAATAAGAGAGCGAATTCTTTACATTTGCTTTCAATTATGTCACAACAGGCAGAATCTGAAATACAATTTTAGGCTAGCAGTATATAAAAATACTTTTTATAACAATACTTTTGATAAGTGTAGTACCACTTAAAAAAAAAAAACAAAACCTAGCTGTATAATTATTCCATTTGAAGACCTACTAAAACAATTCAACTTGCTGCTCCCAGCTGGCTCTTTAAGCAGCAACCTGGAAAGCTGGTTTCTCATGCGTCACACACCACACACACTTCCACGTATTCAAATAACCCTGATGTCCATGGGCTCCCCGATGAATCACTGAGAGGCGTCAATCTCAATCAAGGCATGAGATGAGGCGTTTGGAGCTTGTTTTCAGTTCTAGGGCTGGGATAGATGAAAAAGAGGTAAAGTAAGGTGGATTTTGGGTGTGTGTGTATAGTTTCTACTTATTGACACTTCCAAAGATGAGTTTAATCTGGCATATCAATATTTAACTTGGGAGGTGGGGGAACATATTTTCCAGGGCTCTGTGTTATAACTACCCTGGTCTTCTTCCCAAAAATCGGAGCAATTTTAGGAGCATCTGGAACTGATGTTTCTTCAGCATCTTCACTGTCTTCATGATGTAGATCATATGAAATGTTCCCATATTCTCTTAAAAATGGGAAAATTTCAAGCAGAAACTGACAGAAATCTCTGCGAATACCAAACCACCAATGGTTGCCCCCTTTTCTCCTAAATGTAGTGGCCATTAAAGTTATTAATGAAAGCCAAAGGGGGACAAATATGGAGATGTAAGAGAATGTATTGTGGCCATCCAATCTGTGAACGAGCAGAACCTCAAAAGTGAGCAGGGGCACCACAATCGTTATCCAACTGATGGCCATGGTCACGTGTGTTCTTCGCTGCTCGGCAACCACATCCAGGGACCGAAGGAACAGGAGGGACCAGACGATGTAATAGAGAACAACCAGGCAGAGGAATGACATGAGGATCCAGAGGGGCACGAACACCACCAGCCAAGGCCAGTGGATAATCCTGTCCAGCCTCAGGGCGATGAAGATGAACTGCAGGATGTTGACAGAGCACAGGATCTCCAGCTCCAGGGACCTGTCATGTCGAAAGCCCCACACGCAGGCAGCCACGGACACGGGGGACACGAAGAACAGTGGCATGAAGACCAGCAGCCAGAAGTGGGTCCCCCTCTCCACCCTATCGCAGACCAGGACTTCGAACATGAGCAGCAGCAGGTGGATGCCCACGGCGATCAACATGGCTTTGAACTCCACGCAGGTCTCCCCTTCGGTGCGGTAGCGAGGGTTTCGGGCCCAAACGCCCGCACCCACCGAGGCGCCTGCGATGACAAGGAGCTTCCACAGCCATATAGGGGCGAAGACGGCCCAGTAGCTCCACTGGATGACACCGTCCAGGCGGAGGGGCAGCAGCACCGAGAAGAGCAGCAGGCAGGCGTAGATGAGGAACTTGCTGGGGTTGAAGTCCTGGAAGAGGCCCCTGGGGTTCATGGCGAAGCCGCCGCTTGCCTACCGGGCCTGCTGCGCAGCTCTGCTGGGCCACGGCCTTCAGCCTCTCGGTGGGCAGCGCTGCGGCGGCGGGGCCCAGGCGGGGCCCAGGCTGCGCGCCGGCGCCGGGCAGCGGGAGCACGTGCGCGCGCGGTCACCTGCCCGCCGGAAGCGCGGTGGGGCGTGGCGCGCACCCCCGCTGACCCAGCGACCCCGCGGCCCGGACGGCGCGGCGTTGCGAGCGGGGCGCTGCCTCGGCGCCGCCGCCCCGCCTTCACTCCATACCTACTTTAAAGCAGTTGCTGCCCGTGGCGCCGCAGGGCCGGGCGGGCGGCTCCGGGCCTGGCGCGCTCTGAGTCCCCGCCGGCCCGTTGGAGCGAGTGGGCCTCGACCTCGAGCGGACGCTTCCTGGCGGTGCCGGGAGCAGGGAGGCGGACTGAGCTCACATCCTCCCGGCGGCCCCGGGGGCGGGGCCGGGGGCGGGGCCGGAGGCGGCTCCCGGGCGGGGGCGGGGCCCGGGCGGGGCCCGGGCGGGCAGGAAGTCGGTGGGGGCGCGACCTGCCTCGGGTGCCCTATCCTTGGCCGGGATGTGGCTCCAGCGCGGGGAGCGCCGAGGGGGGACGGCGTGGGCCCGAGGAGGGTGGGAGTTTGTGGGCGAGGGAGCGGGTGCGGGTAGCCATGAATGCACGGGGCGGGGCGCGCGTGTGCGTGCGCGCGCGAGAGGCGGTGGATTTGGCCCTGGGCCCATTGGGAGGCCCGTGTGTGGAGTCTGTGCACAGGGTAAGGTGGGGGCTTTGCCTGCAACAAATGGCTTCCAGGGCTGGACTTCCTTTGGTGGGGCAGCAGGCAGTTTTCAGGCTGAGGCAGAGCGCCTAGGCGTAGCCATAGAAACCTGCCCCTTTCACTCCAGACGTGGAAAGTGGGTGTTCAGTGAGGGTGAGAGACCCTGTGGGCTCCCTAGGCAAGGTCTGGGGAGCAGGTGAGGACACTGGAACCAAAGAGCAGGTGCTTCCTGCCCCAGGTTGGGACTCAGACTCAGGGATCTCGACTTTATGCCCCTGATCCTCATTTTGACCTATTTGGCCCTGCCCCAGTCTGAGTCTCACAGAACCAGATTGGGAAAAGGGCACTTGACCGAGATCAGGAAATTGGGTTCTAGTGCAGGTCTTGCGACTCAACCAGCTGAGAAACCTGAGCAAAGTCACCCCCTTCTGTTGGCCTCCGTGTTCTGAGCTGTTAAGTTAGGGGCCTGAGTGGCCTCCAAGGGCCAACAGTGCTGCTGCGGGTCTGTGAGCACTCCTTTCTCTGGCCAGCGGGGCAGACCCTGGAGGGCTCCCCACTCTCTTCTCCACTCTTCCCCTGCTCAGGGGAGCCTGGTTGTTCCTCCTTTCTGCCTTTCAGCCCCCACCCATCCTGTGCAGTGGGTATGGAATACCAACACTCAGTAGTGGGCTCTGAGGGCGAAGGCTGTCAGAGGAAAGCTCTGGTGTTGGGGTCTCCATGGGGTAACAAGGAACAGCTTCCGGAGAGGGAAGTGTGGCCTGGTCCAGACCTGGCTCTCCACTGGCCAGCACCAGCAGGATGTTCAGGAAGCACGGTGTAGGGCAGTCCCAGCCCTCATGATCTCCCAGCTTCTCCTGCTTCCGTCTTAGCTGGGGCAGGTGGGGAGTCCTGGGGGAGGACTCCCAGCTGAGTAATGCTTGCCGGCATTCAGATCTCAGAACTGTCCTCGGGGGCCCCCGTTTCCGAAGAACCTCTTGGGAGTTATTGTGGGGCTCTATAATGTTGGCCAAGTGGGGCTCTAGTCTTTCTCCCTCTACCCCTTCCTCCCATCCAGAGATGCTCTAGTCTTTTTTGCATATGGATTTAAAAAAATATTTCCTTTCAAATAGGGATTTGTCAGCAAAAACAAATTTTTAATTCAAAATCTCTGTACCAATGCAACTATGAAAAGGGCAAATAAAAGCACGTAGGATTGTTTTGAGGATTAGATGAATCAATACACAGAGAGCACTTCTTATTTAAAGAAACAGGAGTTATTAATATGAGCACACTGGGCAAAGTGAAACCGGGGGGGGGGGGGGGGGGGGGAGGCTCTGCCAGCGGCTCTGCAGGAAGGGCCGCTGCAGAGCCAGGTCCTCGGCCGTGCAGGAACAGTCCGGAATCCTCCCCAGTCTCCTTTCTGTAGCCAGACGACCTTAGGGCCTCTGCTGCCAGCTTCGTGGTGTTTGGAGTGTGTTTTCTCATCTTGAGCTCATTTAAGACCAATGCCTGGTTCTCCTCGTCCTGGAATGGGGGTGTCCCAAGTGTCCCTTCACAATGTGATGTGTCCCTGCTGTCCCACTGCTGAGGGAGGTCAGAGCCTGCCCTAGGTAGAAAGGGCTGCTGTCTGCCATCCCCTCAGCTGGCTTTCCTGTGCCCACAGGCTGGACCCAGTTCCTTTGTTCTTTTCCCTGGTGTGGTCAGTCTCTTAAGGGACCTGCCTTTGTCTTTTTTTTTTTTTCCTGTCCTCACCCGAGGACATTTTTTGCATTTATCTTCAGATAGAGTGAGAAGGAGAGAGGGAGGAAGAGAGAGAAAGAGAAACATTGATGTGAGAGAGACACATCGAGTGGCTGCCACCTGCACGACCCCAACCAGAGCCGGGGACAAACCGCAACCGAGGCACGTGCCCCTAGTGGGAACCGAACCTGGGTCTCTCTGGTCCGCGGGCCGACGCTCTAACCGCTGAACCATACTGGCCAGGGCTGCCTTTGTCTTTCTCTTTACTTTTAAAGCTCACATGGACTGTTTGTATGTTGCAGGTGCTGATGACACAGCCACCCTTGAGGCTGGTACACAAACCAGTGTCAGTTCGTTGATTTATATACAGAGGTTGTGGGGGTGGGTGTTCCAGGCACCCGCACAAGTCTGCCTGTCCCAGAGTCAGGGTGCTTGAGCTCCTAACATGTGTCCCCACTGCTTAACATCCTCGGTGCCAGCGCCCCTTTCTGACCTGGGGGCCCTCCTAAGCTGGCCCTTGCCCACCTGTTGCCTAAGTCCCTTTCCTGTCGACCTGCTAACCTTCCCCCGAAGATCCAGGTATGGTTTTCACGCTCATGGCTCTGCTGTGCTCTGTCCAGAAGTGGCCCACCTCCACCCAGCCCCTCCCCCTCCCCCTCCTGTGTCGCCAAGACCCAGGACAGCCTCAGGCCCTGGGAAACCTGCTTCACATCTGGTGGACCGTGACCCTTCTCTGACCTCCCACAGCATCAGGGCTTTCTTCTATCATGTGACTCATTTCCCTGGGTTGGGTCTGTTTGACCGTCTTTCTCCCCCGTGAGATCTGAGTTGTAGATACCTAACCAGTGCTTATCATAGGAGGTGCTTGAGAAATGCTGCTGGAGGGAACGTGTGAATTAATTTGACCCTACCCATGACGGTGATGCTCCTGCCCCACGTCCAGATCCGTGGTTCCCTCCCTCCTCCCTGTGAGCCGTGTGGCGCCAACAGCCGGGCTCAGTCCTCTCGCTGCCAGCGTCCCAGGCCCTGTGTCGTCCACTCCTCGGCCAGGGCGATCTGTCTGCAGATAGCTCATGAATTAGTTAATAGTTTCCAATTACTGCTGTAACAAATTGCCACAAAACAATGCCCACTTATTATCTTGCAGTTGGTGTACGTCAGAGAGCCCGGGCTCCGCTGTTTGTCTGCTTGAGCCTCACGGCCGGAATCAAGGTGTCACGGGGCTGCATCTCCCGGAGGCTCCGGTGGTGAGTCTGCTTCCGCGCCCGTTTCGTTTCTGGGCAGAATCCAGGTCCGTGGAGCTGTTGGTCTGAGCTTCCTGTTTCCTTGCTGCCAGCTGAGGGCCAGCCTCAGCGCCCACGTGTCCGGGCCTCTTCGAGCCACCAGCAGTGGGTGGGTCCTTATGCTTTCAGCCCGTCTGCATCTCTCTCTGCCTTGTCTGTTTTAAGGGCTCATGGGATTACGTGGGGCCCAGCCAGCTAATCCAGGATAAACTATTTTAAGGTCAGCCTATTAGTAACCGAATTCCCATTTGCAAAGTCCCTTCTCAGCAGTGCCTCTGTTAGTGCTGGACTAATAACCAGGGTGGTGGGGATGCTGGGGCACCCTCAGCATCTGCTCAGTGGCAGCAGCGGGCAGGCCCAGCACAACTCTTCCTGCTCTGAGCTAGGGGACAGCTTGTCCCCGGAGGGGCCCCTTCTCTGGGAAAGCCTGGCTTTGCAGAGGGAGCCCTTTTCCGAGTGCCCTCCAAGCACGGGCCAGGGTAACAGCACTGGGTTACAGGTGGTCCTTGGTGACACCTGAGTGTGCTTCCAGACAGGCAGACCAGCTCCCCTGAGCAGCTGGAAGCTGGGCAGGAGTCAGGATTCAGTCACAGTCCCTTGTCCCCAGGAGACAGATTGCCTGGTTGAATGTCCTCCAAGTAGGTGGCTTGGGCGGTGGGATGACCTGTACAGAAAGCCCAGGGGCATCTTCCTTTTGCGACCTAGTTGCCAGTTTGTTTCCATGAGCTTCTTCATGAGGCCTGTCGTGTCAGCCTGAGCCCCCACCATCGCCCCTTGGCCCCAGTCCCTGAATGCGGCAAGCCCTCACCTCTTCCTGCCATAGCCTCCTTCCCATCCTCTGCCTCCCCACTGCCACCCCGCAGTGTGGAGGGGTGCTCACGGACGCCACGTCCCCCAGGCCAAGGTGCAGGTGTGGGCGCTGCTGTCTCCAAGCTCTGTGACCTTGGCAAGTAACGGAGCCTCCGGCCCCATCTGTGGGGTGGAGATAACCTCGGAACTGTGGGAGTAAAGTGAAACAATGTGTGAAAACCCAGAATACGCACAATCATCCCGCTGTTGGCGGCTGTTGCTACTGTCTGGGCAGTAGATTAGGCATCCCTTTCAGGAAGCCCGTCCTCCCACAGGGACTTGGCTCCTCTGGCTGTCGCGGGCACACGGTGACTCGCAAGGGCAGGGCCTCCTCTCAGCTCTATACCTGCAGATTCTAGCCCAGACTCGTGGAGTAAATGTACCGGGAAAGCGCAGGCGGGCAGGAAGGTTGGAGCCGTGTGGCATCTTTTCCCCGAGCTGCACAGTGGAGT